ACCCTGAACCCCCCACACACCGCAGACCCGAACTTAGACCCCAGCCAGAACCCAGAGAACATCCAACACCTCGGGGCGTTTAGCTCAGTGGTAGAGCGCCCGCTTTGCATTCCTTCAGCGTCTGCGGGAGGCCCAGGGTTCAATCCCCTGATCGTCCAGAACAACCCGATACATCGCACCTGCGATCGTTCTCTTTTGCTATTTTCGCAATGTGTTTGACAGACATCGAGTCCAATGCTAGTTCCAAACTTTCACGTCGTTTTTTTTGCACGGATTTGTTGTAGTTTGTTTGTTTTACTTACATGACTTCTCGCAGTTTCTCCTGTTGGTTGCTAGCGTGGGGTCAGAGAGCAGCAGGAAGATGGTAACCCCTTCAAGCTTGGGCTTGTAACACACTCACTCGTCACATAATTGCATCCAGAAGTAAGATGGGAGTAATCTGAAGCCGCCTCCTACCTGATCGACTCGACAATAATCACACAGAAGGAGGCAAGCAAGCACTTCGAGAAGCCGCCCAAAGGCAGCAAATTCACCAATGAACATTGGCACCATCCCCATTCCTAATGTTGACTTAGCTATACAAATATCAATCTGACCCATGCCATGCTTTAAACGTTGGACATTGCACAACCTATCCACCCTTGCGAATCCATTATACACACTCCAGCCCGCTCTCATCGTCATTCTCAACCTCACTCATCTCCGCCCCTTCTTCAGCGGCGGCGGGCTTCTCGACCTCGAAACCGAATCGCTATATCTCCTCCGCTTCACGCTCATGGGGCTCCTCGAATTCCGACCTCGATCCGGTGAACCCCGCTTGAGTGACCTCTTGGGCGGGGGACTCGGCGAGCGAGAGTACGACGCATCCCGCCCTTCATTCCTCGCCCTCGGCGGGGCTGCTGAGGCGCTGTCACCGTCCCGTGCCCTAAGGGCAACAGGTGAGCGGCTGTCTCTCGGCCCACGACGGTCTACGGGGGAGCGAGACCGCGAGTCATATGATGACCCACGGCTCGGCGACCGACTAGGAGAACGACTGTCGTAGCGGGCGCGTTTCCGCGGCGCGCTGCTCACAGATGAACTATTCCGCCTGGCTGGGCGACGCGCTTCTTGCCCTGGACTACGACCGCGGACAGGTACGCCTCGTGCAGGCGGGGGGCTAGCAGAGCGCGAAATTGAACGTCCTCTCCTTGGCGAAGGAGATCTGCTGACGCTTGAGCTGTTCCTCCGGGCTGCTCGGCGAGGTGGCGGTGTCACGCTGAGACTACGATCCCTAGGACCATTTCGGGCCGGAGAAGGGGATCTTGAGTAGCTGGCAGAACGACCGCGTCTTCTCGGAGGACTCGCCGAGTACGAGTCGTCGCGGCGTCCCTTTCTGGGAGGCGAGACTGAACGACTGTAAGATCGAGATCTGCTGGAGCTGCGACCTCGGCTGTATGACCGTCCCCGTCCGCGGGGCGAAGGAGATCTGGAGTCAGCATGCTTGCGATCAATGGCGCGTCGAGGCGTCCGCGACCTTGATCGAGAGCGGGAGTATGAGGAGCCCGTGTACGAAGAGTAGCTAGACACCGACTCCGAGTCGGAATCATCAGCCGGTGGTGCAGGCAAAGCTGGCTTGGGCATGTTCTGTAGGTACTCGCGAGAAGCCTCTGTGAGAGCACCCATGCCAATACTGGTAAAGTAGTTGATGGAGAAGCGAATATTCCGTGGGTTGTCGCGCGGGAACAGGCCGGTGAAGCTAGGTTGGAGGATCTCGTCCTTCATCCGAGCTTGCAGTTTTGCCATACCAAGCTCCTCAGAGATGTCCTGGAAGAGAATCTTGATGAAAATTCTGGAACTACTCGTTGTCTCTTCCTCATTGAGGTGAATAACGGAGAGTACGTGCCAGCCGATAGCATCGGTCGCGAGCAAATGCGCAAAGAAGCGCGCAACGTTGCGAAGCCTGTTGGTCTCGTATCGGTGGATCTTGCTGTAGTAGTCGGCAAAGGATTCTTCAAAGAGACCGGTCCATAACCTGTTAAGCTTGGCGAAACGCTCTCCAATCAGACCGTGGAACTTTGAAAAGGTCTTTTCCTGGGAGCAAATCTCGACAATCATCGAGGGCAGCTCCGCTTCTTGGCCAGCCGGGAGGTTTACCCGCAAAAGCTTATGCACTGCTTCTTCGGGGTCGATGGACGACATGACCGTCAGGTAAATGGTACGGCGCAGGTTGACCAAATCGGTGTTGGACTGGTCCTTGATCTCCATTGCCTTCTCCTCTTCGTCGTCCTCCTCCTCGGAGCTCTCATCCTCATCGTCATCGTCGTCATCGTAGTCGCTGCCCTCGCCCAAGATCTCGGCCTTGAGCTTCTTGTAAGCTTCCTCATGCTCCTCCCACTCCGCGTCGTACTTGAAGATGTTGAGGCCATCCTGTACGTCGATTTCACCGTCCAAGTCGACCATGTGCGTAATTTGATCCTCCTCCTCAACCAAGTCGAGTTCCTCCTTGATGGGTGGGTTGTCCTTGAAGTTGTCCTTGCGAACCTGGAATAGCACCTCAATCATGTACTGCACACGCTTGTCGATGTCCGCCTCGTGCAGCACATTCCTCAGCTGATCCCAGACCGCGAGGGCGATTGCGGGCTGCATATCCTGCAAGTGTTGTCCAACTTCGCGCATGAAGTTGACGGCGATCTCGACGCTGTCGTCCGTCGGCTTGTGAAGGAGAAGAAGGAGCATCTGACCAGCGAGTCGCTCGTGGGCGACCTGGTGGTTGACAAGATGCGCCAGGAATGTCGTGGACGAAACGCAGACAGCCTTGTCGCTGCGCTTGAAACCCTTACGGAAGGACATGATGAGGCGCTTGACCAGGAGCTCGCCGACGGCAGGCAGCTTCGTGTTGACAATGGCCACCATGGCGGCGAAGACGGGCGTAAAGGGTAGAGAAGCCGCCTGCGCCTTCATGATGGATCGACAGAACAAGCCGCGGCCCTTGATCAGGTTCTCGCCAAAGAGCTCGGGAACAATGTGCTTGATGTTGGAGTAGTTGACCTTGTTGATCAGACCATTGATACTCTTCTTCAGCGCCTCCCACATCAGCCTCTGGTATTCCTTGGAGCTCTTATCGGTGATCTGGGCTTGCAGCGCTCTCAGTCGCGCGGGTGGTATGTAGGTGCCTCCGGACCGCATCGACAGCAGCTTCTCGTACTCGGCCTTTGCGATGGCCTGCTTCTCCTCCTCCGTCTTCATCGGCGGCGTCGGGCGTCGTTGCTCTTTGGGAGCCGGGCGGTAGCTATCGGTGCGATCGCGGTCTCGATTGCGGGGGCGATCGTTGTCGCGGTTGTCGCGGTGGTGCCGACGGTCGCCGCCGTCGCGGTCGTTTTCCATTTCGCCATCGCGTTCGCGGCGCTCGAAGCTCGGGGAGCCAACGTCTGCCGATGCCATCTTGCCTCTGTTCTGACGTCCTCAGAGCCCTGTGGATGATTGAGAATCAAGCCGGTGAGCCTTGCGACGCAGAGAAATGGCGGCAGCCGAATCGGAGATGCGCTGGTTGCTGGAAGTCTTGTTTTTCCTTTTGGCTGGGTTGGAAAAAGTTACTGCTGCTTTGACGCAACAGGATCGCCAGGCAAGAGTTACCTAAAAATCCAAGTGTGGCTGGGGAGTGAAGGGAACCCACTATGGGACAGAGGGAGCACAGACCATGCGGCTGGAGCTTCCCAAGCGCAGGGGGAACCCAAGGTATCTGGCAGGTCCACCGACCCCTTCAAGTCAATCAGTCAACCGTGGCAGCTCCCATTTAGCGCAGCCATAGAGGTCCAGTGCAGGCGCGCCCTCGTCCCCTGAAATCGCGACGACAATTTTCCCGATCGGAGGATCCAATACAGCACCTAGAGCTACCACCTGACTGGCCTTACCTCATCTCGACCTCCTTCCCACAATCCCCCACGACCCTTCTTTTACATCGGCCTTTTCATTCACACAGTCACTGGTCATCACTTGCGCGCACCCATCTCGTCGATTCCTTCTTCACACTCTTTACTTACCCTTTCAATAAAATCGACAATGGTACGTTGACATTGCTTCTCCCCGAGTTGGCAAGGACCCGCCCGCACTCAACAGCCAGCATCCCATCCCACCCTCGAGCGCAACAAGGGAGGGCAGGAGGGCAGGCAGGCAAAACTGAACATGATCAACAGCTCGCTAACCTGTGCTTCGATTGTTTATTACAGAGCGGAACTCTCGTCGGCTTCGCCATGCTCGTGGCTGCCTCTGTCATCTTTACATACTACTCCATCTGGACCCTGCTCATGGTGAGTAGCATCGCCCACCCACCTCCTCCCTCATTACCTTTTGTTCTGCGAACAGGGCCGGCAAGGTTGACTAACACATCTTGCCACAGCCCTTCGTCGACGAAGGCCACCCTCTCCAGAGCTTCTTCCCTGCGCGCGTTTGGGCCATCCGTATTCCCGTCATTCTCATCCTCCTCGGTTCCGCCGTTGTCGGTTCCTTCCTAGGCACCGTCATGATCCGCAGCAACAGGAAGAAGGCTGCCAAGGCTAAGGCTGCCGCGAAGAAGAAGGCGTAAAGGACTCGGAAGTGGGAGATTATTATCAATTGTTGCGCATGTCGATGCCCGGGAGACCCAGGTTTATTGTTGAATGTCTACGATGATACGGGCATAGAACATGAGGGCCCAAGGGGGAATGGGTCCACAGTTGCGAAAGCACAATGATGGGTATCTAAGCTGGATTTATTGGAGAATGAGCGCGCTGCTCACTTCAAGAGCAAGGCTACCTACTCTGATGCTGCTCGAGGAGGTACTACCCTAGGCCAGAGAGAACCCTCAAAAAATCACCAATAAAGGAGTGAGTGGCACGACCGGCCAAGTACATATCCTGCCCCCATGATCCCAGGCCTCGGCCCGACGCATGTCTCTTTGGACCGATGCCTATCATCCGTAGACAAAATCATGGCAAGAATGACTCCTGGTCTAATCTAGCTCCAAACGCCTCGTGATTCCTTTCTCAAACTCTCTGATCTGCAAAGTCAAGCACTTCACAGTCATCCTCGAAAAAGCCATCCTCATCCTCCGTGTGCCTCGCCCCACGTCGTCGTCGGGTTGTAACAACAATCTCATCGCCGTTCTCTCCACGGTGCATAACTCTCTCCATCGAAGAAAGCGGGAGCGCGCGGTGATCATCCGAAATGTTGAATTCGTCTTCTGAAACTGAGAGGTGTCCAGTATCGAGCTTCACCAGGTTGAGTGGCTGACCAAATGCCCAAGGTTGCGAGTAGTTTGTCTCAAGAGTTGTTTCTTGAGCGCGAACACGCTGCTGTCTCTTCTTTTGCTTGGGCGTTGCGTGATCCTCCAGTGTGGTATCGGCCATCAGTACAGCAAGCGATGGAGCCAAGGCCGCTGGTGGACTTGCATACTCATACAAAGCCACTCGCCTGTCGGTATGGAAAGGCTGGTATGGTGCGCTGGACTCGATCTCGGCTTGCGGGATGGATGCTTCCGCACTCAGGTCGACTTGGAGCGGTCTGGCGCGCGGGTCAAGCGTCAGCGTCTTGCCCACGTCCATTTCTCGGTCTGACAGGTCCAGATACTCGTCCGAGTCGATGAATTGCCGAACAGCTGGCGAGAAGCCATCGTCGGGGAGTGCCGGAACTTTGAAGTCCTTGTATCGAACTCCTCGAGGTGTGCGCTGCTTGCTGGCAGCCGCCGACGGCCGACGAGTCTTGGATGGGAACGTTCGCACTAGGCCGTCGCCAACCACATACAGAGTATGGTATTTTCTACCAGTGATCCATACGACGCATGATGAAGCTGGCAGAAGCGAGCTTTGTGGCAAAGAAACGCGGTTGTCTCCCGTGTGGCGCAGCTGGTTTATGGCGACGCCGGTTTTGCCCAGGGAATGACTGATGCTCGCAGCAATGGCTCTTCCTCCAACGCTGGCTGAATCGACAAAGTTGCCGCCGGCCAAGCCTTGAGCGTTCACGCTGCTCCTACGCGGCCGAGTGATCAAAGGTCTGGCGGCATGGTAGGCAGCGCCAAAGGCACTGGATGCGATCGATACAGCTGAGTTAGGTGCATCTGACGCAGGAGCGCCGTTTTCTTCCGTGGCCTTGCGCCGGCGAGGCGGCGGCCAGGTGAAGGCACTGAAAGGCATTTCAAGGAGATGGACGGTTCCTCTTTCCGTGACCATTGCAATCCGCTCCCCGTTGGGTTTCGACCAAGCCACGTCGACGATCCGAGCAACGGTCATCCGTGAGAATTGCGCAACCTGGCGCACTCGTGGGCCGACTGCGTTGTTAGCCGCGATCACCTGAAGAGGTGACGACTTGGTGTACTGAATGCACATCAGATCCCATACAGTCTGCACGTCGCCCTTGCCGCTTGCCGTGAACAGAGATAGCCCAGTCGGTGAAAAGGACAGGAAGCTGCAGCCAAGTGGAGATGCAAAGGTGATGAGCGGGTGCAAGGTGGCCGAAGTTGGCAAACTGTCCATGTCGAGGATAGAGACCAGACCGGGGTCTTTAGTCACTGCTTGACCAGGTGTACCGTGAGTCGGCGGGAATTGGTTTGCGTCGTGTCGAGGAGGATACGATCCTGCCCATTGCTGCGCTGTCACAGGAGGGGATCGAGACTGCATCGGAGGCGCCTGGTTCGCATTCTTGTTCCAGTACGAATTCCAGGCCGACAGTCCTTGCTGGCCAACCCACTTTGCTCCCGAGATCAACTCTTGCGTTGTTTCACGCATAATCTTGTTGACCATGCTCTCGGCCATGGGAGAATCAACAGATCCGGTGACCGCGGGTAGCACAGGAGACGTCACCGAAGAGATGCCCGGGGCTTTGCCGAGAATGACCACCGGTACATGAGCGCGCAGAGCGATTTGCGAAGATGCAGCTGGAGGGCAGTAGGCAATCCACTTCCCGTTGAGCGATAGGATTGGGGTCTGCGGGTTGGGACGAGGAGGCGCAGGTGAGTGGCGGCGTTCAGCATCCTCGGCAACCTCTCCTCGAGGGGGCTGTTGGAGGCTGGTCCAGAGTTTACCAACACAACCGAAGCGAACTGTGCCGTCATTGGAATCCAGGATAGAACGGTAAACCCAGCATTCTCCACTCACTCCAGAGGCGATTGCAATGTTTCCAGCATCAGCTTTGATCGTGAATGCGCCCGTCGGCGGCGGCGCCTTGAAGATCGGGCTCGTTACGGGTGTTGCCAGCGGGACTTTTGGAGCTTGTAGAAGCACGTCGACGAGTTTGCCTGTCTTGAGTGAATATAGCTCGACTGACGTCTGGTAGAACTCGATGGCAGGCGTGAATCGGCCGGAAGGGCCTCCCTTCTGGCTGCCATCAGCTCGAGGGCTACCTGGCACATCAGCTCTGTCTTCGGTAATGTTGTCGTTTGCCGCTTGAATTGCGATCTCTGGCGATGTTTGTGGTAGCACAGGCCCGTGAATGACGACAGCCACGAGCGGAGAATCATCGGCCTTGTCTCCAGGAGTTGACCAAGGAAGGACCTTGGCATCGTATACGCCTCCTCGCAACCCTTTGAGGCCGGCAACCCGATCTAAGCCACGCTTGCTGACTGAATAAACTTCGAGACCACCCTCATAGCCCGCCAGGGCAACATTGTCTGATCCTGGAGCGAATTCGTTGTGTGCAGCAGGGAGTGTATCGAAGCCAAAGTAATAGCCCTTATCGCCGGCTTTCATGCCGGCCTTGGAAGCCATATCAAAGTCGATGTCAGGAGCACTGTAAAAATGCGGCTGGGCTTGATGAGGGAGCGGGGGTTGGGAGCCTACTCGGGCGTGGGACATTTGCGACTGCATGGAGCTGCGACGGTATGCTGCAGCTGCAGCCGGCTGATGGTAGGCTTCAAGGGGAAACTGCGCATCCATCTGGAAGCTGAGAGGCCGCTTCATATGGTTTGGCATGCTGTTGGGAGGGGATGGCGAAGCAGTCTGGGGCGTCAGAGACTGGCGCTGGACGGCCCATCCGTGGTGGAGGCGACCAGAGTCTTCGTAGGAGGAAGGTTGAGTGGGCGGCGATTCGCCCATGAGACTGATCAAGTTGCCTGGAGAGCCAGCGAGCCCTCCTCTTGCCCAGTCGTGGTTTGTACTTGCAGCCGATGCGGATGTGGTGGAAAGTGCATCCAGAGCGGGCGAGACGGTGGGGTGCCCATCGTATGGGGACGGGTCTTGAGTTATGGGTCTAATGTCGGGAGAATGAACGGGAGGCGACGATGCATCGGACGGAGGGCTCTTGGAAGGGCTGCCGTTTCTTTGAGGTTGTTAGCCATCGTGGTCGCGACAAAGGTAGAAGGGTCATAAGGGTTGCAGCAGTGACTCAACACCGACTATCGCGGGGTTCTAAGATGACGGGCAGGGGTATAGGGGAACCTACGCGAACTTGCCCGCGGCGAGTTTCGTCACCGCGGCGCTAACTGCACCATCTTTCGCGTTCTTTCTGTCCTTCTTCGAACCTGAAGAGAATGATGTGATGAGTATGGCAATATTACATTGGTTCCGGCGCGTATGACAGCTCAGGGGCGCAGGAGAGAGACCCGAACTTACTCGGCATTCAAGTGGTGTTGCGCGGCAGTTGGAGCAGTCTCCTGCTCCAAGGACCTGCGTTTCCGCAAGCCAGCTGTACCGCTTATTTGGGAACGATGAAGTCGATACGAGACGATTATGCAAGTGTCGTGGTACGTGGCTCGGTATCGTCGTATGAGGGTTGTTGGAAGGCTGCAAAGGACGAGAGTTGAGTTGTTGGTCTATTAGAGAATCGCGCGAAAGTGGTCGACAAAGGCGGCAGATGACCTCGGATAACGAAGGCTGCCGCAGGCTATTTTTTTGTAAATGCTTTGAATATGAACAGTTTTGCGTGGCAAATAGAGGCAGGCAAAGCAAGACGGAACAAGTCGAATACCGGTCGGTAAGCAAGATGGACGTCGGGTTGGAGGTGAAAGCGAAGGGAAGAAGCAGTAAAGAAAGGGAAAAGAGCGGCTTTCTTTGCAGGCACTGCCAAAGCGGAGAGCAAAAGAGAGATTACTAGGATGGCCAAAGGAAAATCTAGAGAAGAAGACAGAAGAGGAAAGACGTGACAGGTCGTGACGGACGTGACGTGACTGTTGTGTTCACGGGAATGCTGCTATCGTGGATCGTTGTTTGAGTTGTTGGTGTTGATGAGTCGAAGGAGAGAGCACGGGGAAGAGTGAGTGACAATGAGGTGAGGTCAGGTAGGCAGGTCCTAGGTCCGGCCGGTCCAGTTCCAGTTCCAGTTGAGGTGAGGTGCGGTGGTACTACTGTGTACCTACCATAGGTACGGAGTACACTAGGTGCCTTTAGGTACCCCCGGCCTGACTTGGACCTGCTGTTCTCTCCGTGGCTGATGGCGGGGGTGGGTGGTGTGTCCCGCCTCCACCCCCTCCACGGCGGCAGCGGCATCTAAAGGTAAGATAAGATACGGAGGGGAGACCTTCCTCTTCCTTCCATTTCTTACCTCAGGTAAAGGTAAGGTAGGTACCGGTAGCCGGGCGCACTATGCAAACAAGACACCGGGCACATTTCACCACCTGGGCACGTAACAGGGCGGCCTCTCTGACGGTTCCAGGTTGCTTTCGTTTGGTATGCGAGAGGCCTGCCAACTCTCATACTCAGCAACACCTCATTCTCAGTCACAACGACGTTCCCAGGCACAACAGAACCCTGCTTGCTACCTAGCAGCGAAAGCCATATCTGAAGCACCTCGGGCAAGGTGCCTTCCTTCAGTTGCTGGCCACCCGCGGGATGGAAGCGGGGCATCCGAGTGCTTTCGCTCTGTCCCGTCCCCCAGTTGTTCAGGTTCCATTGCGCGCCTCCATCACCCCCGAGTACGGAGTACGGCGCGGTGTGCCCCCCAATCCAGTCTCCCCTCCAAGCCACCCCTCCATGCCCCCCTTCTGATTGAGTCTGTTGGAGCAACCTGAACTAGGATGACAGGGGTGTCAAGTGCAGACAACTTGCTGGGATGCACTTCAGAGAGGGGGAGGGGAAAGCACAGAGACAGACACACGCAGTATGGTGGGATTCTGCGATTGGATTGGCACTGTTCTGCAACTGCATCTACGAGCTGGTAGGTTCCAGGCTGGAGGTAACTCTCGGCTTGAACCTCGCCCGGCAGGTACCTGCGATGCGCATCACGGGCAGGACGCGCACCGCGGATACTGGTGCAGTCTGCAGATAGGTACAGCGCACCAATCTTGGACCAGCTCGCAGCGGACAAGGGGGGTTGGTTGGTTCTTGAGACTGCCAGGCTGGGGGGCCCCGGTGCTCTGTACCTGGTCATGTCCCTTTCCGTACCTCCGCCGCAGCTCTTGGTTGTCGGAGAACTCGAACATGACCGTACCAGCTGACGGAAGATACGTGGTCCCGCCGTCCTACGAACAGGTACCTTTCAGTTACAACAGCATGGCAGGGGCGTAAAGACAATGGAAGACACCTCACCTCAAGCTGGGCTGCAGCGGGCGCGGATAGCAGGGCTAACACCTTCAAGACTCCAAAGAGAAAGAGACACTTCCGATCACTTTACACGCCCTCGCTCTCGCTCACTCCTCTCTCTTTTTGACATTGGACCTCAGCAACCGGAGTTGAGTCCAGCCCAGCCTGGCTAAGCTCCAACTTATTTACTTACCTCCTTTATTTGCGCCTCCCGGTCTATTCTCTCTTTCACTAATTAGTTGATTGCAGGCACCGAGTACGCGCGCAGTAGCGTTATCAGTTCATTTACCCTCAGAATTCCTGACGGAAGCGACCAAATCAAACTATTTTCATGCGAGACGAACGGAACACTGGTTCAACTACGACTTCAATATTGTCTGAGACCCCTCTCATCCGTCCACCACTAGGTTGACACATTTTCTTCCATTGCTTTCTACCGAATCTCCGAAATGTCTGCCACACACACTCTCTTATACACTTTGGTACACACACTCACAAAGCCACTCAAACGCCTACCTAAGCTCAGCTCTGCATACGCATACAGAGTCTCTTGCCGAGGCCGGAAGTGCAGGCGGCAACGGCGCGACGTCCAGCCAAAAGTTACAATGTCCAAGCCTGGCAGGCCAAATACCTACTACTGCCGTCACAAATCCCATCACAACCCCCCAACAAGCCATCCTTGGAGCGGGGACCAGCTGCTGACACCTGGGCTGTGCGTACGTTTGCCTCTGTGCCAGCAACTTTGAAGACGGACGACGGCAAGACGAACAACCGACAGACAGATGAAGGTGACGATCTGGGGCTGGTGACTGATGCCATCATCCCGCTTTGGCCTGATGACAAGCGGCGCAGGCTCAACCGATGCTAACTGGACCAAACTTCCTCCTGGGGTGGAATTATGGACGGATTCCCGACTAAATTAACGGTGTCGACTTCATTTCCCGCCAAACACTTCCAGGATTGCGGTCCTGCCTCCTGGCTTCCCTCTACGGTATGCCGTCGTGATCCCGTATCCTCCCGTTGACGGTCATCCGTCTGTCCTATCGCACCGCTTCCCCATTGAACTGCCACACACTCGGCGGCTCAGGGCCAGACCGTCCGACTGACAAAGACACCTGACCCCCCTCGGTGGAGGAACGGGGGGCACCACGTCAGGTGAACGAGCCACTCACAGCTCTACCGTGGACCACGAGAACAACGCACCATAGCTGACGTATGGAGGGGCTCTCCTTGGATACCCCTCCTCATTCCCCCAACCTCGCCTTCAGCTTTACTGGGTGGATTGCGAACCTCGATCATCGCCGTTTCAAGAATTGAGATGCCGCCAACTTGTCACGATTCTGTTGAGGCAATACCTACTTGAGATTCTGGCTACCCTCGGCCCAATTACTTAAGCAACCCATTCGGATGAGGCGTAGCTACGCGAGACGAAGCCTGGACGAGGCGACGCGCGATGAATGCAAGGCACGGGGCCAACCGCGCCCGCTACGCCGTCGAAGCGCAAGCAAGCGCATGGGGCGGTCTGAGGTCGAAGCCATCACCGGATGAATCTGCCGTCATCGACGATCTCAAGGCCAATCTGCTCGCTGCTCAAGACGGGCAGAGCAATGCCATCGCCGAAACACGGTGGCTGCGACAAATCGCATTGCGCCGCCAACTGGCGAGTGCCCGATGCTCAATGAATGACTGCCACATCTCAATGGCTGGATTGCTCCGGTTCACATACAATTCTCATTGCTATTCGACACACTGCTCAATTCTGGATATTTCCGCTTCAGCCAGCGCCGTCATTTGTCACACTTCAAAACTCTGACACCGAAGGTAGTTCCCCCTCAATAGGAGCCCACTGGTCGAGCCAAACTCGATATGCCTCCATCCGCCACTCCCCATCCTGCTTCACCCAGTCTGCGCTACCCGCCCAGCTGAACACGTTCTCAGCACCATCCAACCCCTTCCTCCGAACTCCCCCCTTGAGCATGACGTGCACACCCTTTTCGGTAGCGGAGCCGATCGCACTCGTGATCCAGTGCTTCCTCGCCGCGACAGAGCTCCACATGTCCGCCCGTAGTTGACGGAGGTCTGGAAATACAAAAAACATGTCAGCCGTCCCCATACCTCAAGGCAAAATGCTGGGTACTACGTAGGTAGCAAAACTCACTCTCGTGCTTCTCCGCCGCCGCCGGACCAATCTTCACTTTGGCATCGGGCGTGTAGAACTCGATCCAGCGCTCGTTCAGGTCCTTGTTATCGCTGGTCCGGTAAAAGTCCCGTATCCGGAGCCGGAGGTCCCGCTCCATCGCCGTCTCGCTGGCCGAGAACGGTTCCATTCTGGAATAGCTGTCGTGGGGCTCCACGCCCTCTGTGGTAGCAAAGGAGGCCATTCTCGTCCCCTTGTGCTAGGTGGCGAACTGTTGGAATCTTGGTCGTCCTTTGAGAGCTTGCGTATATTTCGCAAGGAATACTCTGTAACAATGTGAGGGAGTAAGTGAATGTATTGTGAATAGCGTACTATTGCAAGCACGTGTGAGGAAGCAAGGTGACGTTTATATCCGTTCCCCGTTCCCAAGTGCGGGACGGCGGGGGGGGGCGCACCCCACAAGTCTTCGGCCCGGAAGCTCTGGCGGCACCCGATGAAAGCTTCGGAATCTTTACCTCGGGAAGGAAATCGCGACACCATTGACCGATTTGATTGCAAATCCATGTCCGTCGTCTTCTCCATCACTAAGAGCTACCTGGCGGATTCTAGATTCGATTTGTAAGGATATGAGAGCGCTGCACCTATGCGTTTCTCGGAAGTTCCGTCGGAAAGGACCTCAAAAGGTTGACCTCACCCTACTTCTAAAACGCGACATGCTCTTTCGAAATTCACAGTTGAAGGCAATATAAATACACCCACTCGAGTATGATGTTCTTCTGCGCAAGCTGCTTGGCTTGTCATAATGTTTCTACTGTACATGATGTCGTTCTCTCCATTCCATCCGTACCTATTCCCCCCTTCGAGATCAGATGATAAGCTCGCCATGGCCCTATGCTGGATCAAGTTGGAGCCGTAGAAGAAAAGTTTGAGATGAAAAACTCCGTTACGAGACCTCGAATGGATCGTCAACTGTGCCGCCACCATGCACCCGCGCTCCGGAGGTACCTGTCTCATCACCCACGACAGCAGGCTTACATCGCCCGTCTCCTTTCGCCTTGGTAGCCCGAATGGAATCCTGAGAGGAGTCCAGCTCAACCTCAAGAATCATGCGTCTTGCTCTCACTCCGGGGGCCTCGGTTCGTACATCCTCCACATCGGCTTTCTCCAGCCTTCTCTTCTTGGCTGAGGCCGACTCACAGGGAGTATCGTCGTTGTCGAGGCTGTAAGCACTGCCGTATCGAAGAGCAATACTTTCATCATATCCCGCACTTCTCGATGTCTCTTTGCTACGCCGTTTGACTTCGAACTTTGCCATTCGTTTGTCCCTGGTATCAGCGGGAGATGCTGGTGCTGCAGCCTTGGGTATGGAACGAACGGAAGGGCTTGTAGTAGCCGGTATGGCAGGCTTGTGAACCAGCAAGGGCGAGATCAATTCTTCAGAATGTTTGCTGTCCGTTGGAGACTTTCCCTGACCAATGCGAATATTGCATCGAGGCTCTACAGCCGGAGTACGAATCTTGTTGGCCTGGCATTCCGCAAGAATCTGCTCTTGAAGCTTCAGAAGGTCTGACGGAATGACTTCAGCTACACCAACACCAAAGGCGATGTTAGAAGGCTCCGTTAAGTCGTCAAGAACACCGCCGTTTGCCTGGAAACTGTTCATGAAAGGAACTCGGCTGCCGAGACTCATCTGAGGAGGTAGGGGTGCCCGCGCTGAATGTGCCGGATGAATCTTGGCTGCCGGAGGTGACCTCTTTTTCTTCCTCCACGCCTGGTATGCTTCGTCGGACATCCCATGCCCTAGAATTGCATCCAGCATGTCAAATTTCCCATTCTGGATCGGACTGCCCGCGGATTCGCGTTCGTTTCGCCATCTGTTCACTAATAGGATTCCCTCGGATTCGATGAAGATATTCTCGATACCGGGAAACACATTACAGGGATCGAGCTCGATGGAACTCGTTGGGCTCTCCTTACGTTTTTGTGCAACCTTGGCGACGAGGTCGAGAGCTTGAACTTCGCCTTTGAGAAGTCTCTGGTTCAGTACCATGGGTGTGAATTGCCTGACCCACCAGAGAGTGGTCATTCTCGAAAGGTAGTACTGCTGCATCCAAGGAATTGTGGTTGCCAGGCTATTCGTTGTGTGAGTGCCATACCACTCGCCCTGCAAGAAAGGTAGCCTTTCGAGTGTCTCTGAAGTGGATACTGCGGGCGAACGACAATTCTTGAGGGCCTGAAGATCAGGGAAAGTCATGATATTGGACTTTTCCTTGTTGAAGTGCAGATTATTCCGGCTGGTGATTACCTTTATCGAATTTTCTAAACGCGTTCGCCATTGATTCGCTTGAGGAAGCGTCTGGATACACCAGAAGCTCTGGACAAGGCCGCCGTCTTTGACAAGCTCTTGAGCGAGAGGTGTCCCGCAGCCTAAGAGTCCGGAGGGTGCGTAGTCGCAGCCAGTGAGCATAGCGAAACAGGCGACACTTTTATCATTGTAAAGGCCAACCTTCAAGCGACGGATTTCTCTCATGTCGAAGATTCGCGCATGCTCCTTGAACTTGTGGTTCTTGGTATCCCGCAGGTCTCTAATGACAACAGTGGAGCCGAACATGAAGCAATCGCCGTCCTCAGACCAGACTGCATCGACGAGACCTTGTTGCTGGAGTAAAGCGCACTCGGCTTCGGCTTCGCCTGGTGCCTGGAGCCAAGGTACGAGAATGTGATCCAGCGTGTGCTTTATGAGGGCGGTGGTTGACTCTCGTTGACCATACCGTTTGGAGCCCCGCTTGATTTGTGGACGCTGTTCCCCGTCGAAGACAAATACCACATGGATACCGAGCCGCAACAACGGCAGCAGACGTTCGAGGATGGCCTTCTCTCGTGGGTGGGAACCTGGTGATTCTAGTCGGAATTATCAGCCTCGGGGATTCTCTTGGGTTTCCAAAGGGAAACAAAAATGTGGAAGTAAAAAATGGTGCAGAATATACATGAATAGACATAATTGGAAAACCAGATCAATGGAGTAATGAGGGGCTGACTGAAATGGGTAACCAACGTTGTTGAATAGCGGCTTCCTGGGCGTCAGAGACATTCTTGAACTGCCAATGGGCTGCATCGACAGCGATGCGAAGTGGTCGTTTATGTTCCTTCAAGTGATCAGTGGCCCATTGTGCCAAGGATTTCTCGACACCAGCTCGGTCAACGAGTTCCCAAAAACTGAAAAGCTACGATCAGTACAAGTAGAAACGATTGTCAAATCAAACTTCCGCGAATAAGAATCAACTGGAACGCACCCAGCAATGCCCATCTTCAGGACCTGCTTATCTCGAGAGGGAATCGGTGGTAGAAGGGCTTGGAGGTATGAAAACGTGGAATACCACGTCGACGCAGGCGCGTGTAAGTCGGCTGGCTACATAGCTATGTCGTCGTTTACATCGACCCCGAGTACTGCTCTGACACCGGGATAGCCCGTCGAGTGATCTCTGAAGGTCGTCAAGTCAGGGAACATTGTTTTCAACATCGCCCTACATTTAGGGAGAGCTTTTATTATACAAATCGCTATGAAGCTTGAGTAAATATAGAATGTTCCTTCCTATAGAAGAAACATGCATCTCGTACATGGGATGATATCCAGACGCTAATCGCCCTCATCCACCAGAACTCGTGGTCATCCAGCCACCATTTTCATCTCAAATACATCCCGGAGTCCGATCTCGGCTCCTCCGTATACCTTGACACGATTCTTCCCCGTAAGATCCTATCCAAGAAGAACCTCGATCCGGTCTCTCGCAACCGCATCCCACACCCTCTGCACAACATGTCCAAGCCCCCTCCGGTAACACACCCCGCCAACCCTCTCCACCCAGAGCACATTAACAAAGTCCACAATCTCGTCCTCGTCCATGTTATCCCGGAACGCATCCAGATCAAACACATGACTCCCCCCTCTCTCGCTCGCCATCGACACGGCCACGAACTCGAGCTTTTCTTCCCCCGTATGATTCGCCCCCTGCAAGCCCAACCAGCTATCGTGCGCCGTCACCACGCCGCACCACTTGCCCGTCCTCGACCAGATATTCCCTACCGCCAACGGGACGCCGTACCCTCGTCCGGGCGCCACCAAGCCCGTGCCAGGCCCCGTGTTGTTCCCTGAGTTCACCGCGTTGGCCGCTTTCGCATCGAGCGGCGCCCCGTTCCTAGCCACGGCGAAGTCGACGTCCAGGTACGCCACCGTCGTGCTGAACGAAAGCAGCGTGGCGCTCAGCGCAAAGTCCCCAAACGGCGACAATCCCGGCCCCGGGATGGCTCCGTCCGCTCCTCCTCCACCTCCGCCAGCCATCTCCGCCACGGGCACCGGGTACCGAAACACAACCTCCGGATCCCCCGCATACCGGAACCCGCCACCGCTCCTCGACCACCCAGCAGGCAACGGCACCGTCCTCCGATGCCTCCGATCCCGGTACGCCATCCCATCATTCGGCAACGGCGTATACGTCGCCCGGTCCGTGAGCTCATAGCTCACCAACGACCGCAACCGGAACGCGTAAGGGCTCTTGAACCTTCTCTCCACGCCCCTCTTGCCGTGATGTGCAGGCGCCTCCTGGACGTAATCCGCCGCCGCCCGCCAGAGCGTCAGGTCCGCGGGCACGCCGTCGTAGTGCCACCCGAGCCAGCTCCACGACGGCAGCGGGTTCATCCCGGTCACGGGCTGCACCATCAGCCGCCGCCGCACCATCGCCCTCGGCTGCCACAGCATCGCGACGTCCAGGAAGCTCACCGGCATACCGAACACGAAGCCGCCCGCAAACGACCGCGACAGCACCGTCGTGATTCCCCGCAGCGCCCTCGTGGTATCCGACATGAGCGTCACCCGCCGCGCGCTAAACTCCATCGCGATCCGCGCGAACTCGTCCATGTCGGGCCACACGGGGTGCAGGTACCCCGTCGCCGCGGGAAACGTCCTCGACGCACACGGCCCCCCGCCGCCGCCGTGCCTCCCCAGCCCTCCGCCCTTGAGGATCTTGCTGAACCTGCCGCCGCCCGCTGCGCCCGGCGGCCCTTGCCACAAGTCGCAGTGGCACTCCCACGTCACCGTCTCCTCGAAAACGTACACCTTCCGCCGCGAGTACATGCCCTCCTGCACCGTCCACGCCCGCCCCGCCCACCGCGACGAGAGCACCAAATCTTCGTGCTTCCTCGCCGCGGTGCCCCTCGGCGGCGGCGTCCTCCGCAACAACCCCGTCAGCCCGGACTCGGCGTCGCCCGCGGCCGCCACGATGGTCATGTAGGCGTTGGCGTACACGTATGCCATATTCTTGACGTACTCCTCCCTCTCCACGTCGTCGTCCTGCACTATACAAAACCGGTCGACCCAGAGGTACTTAATCCCCAGCTTCCTTGCCAACCACATGGCATCCAGAATCGTCTGCGGGATATCCGCGTCATCCATGCTCGCCGTCAACACTTCGAGGTTCTCCCGCAACGTCTCCACGGGACCCCGCGATGAAGGCAGCGGCGGCTCGTAGACGTAGCTGAGCGCGATATACCGATCCGTCGCCCTCGCGCGCACGAGACACCGGTTCACCGAGTCAATCAGCCATATCGGCCGCCACGTATCCGTCGGCGGGCCGGAGCAGTGGTCGCCATGCTCGGCATTGCACGTGTCGAGCCACTCGCGCACCCTGCCGACGGGGTTGAACGCCTTGCTCGCCGTCGAGGCCGATGATGCGCGGCGCGAGGGGAGCGTGGATGCCGCCGCCGCGGCTGCGGCCCCGACGCCCGGCGGATGATCCCCCGCTCCGCGCGCCGCGCCCGACCGCGCCGCTGTCCAGGTGCTCATGAGCCGCTCCGTGATGGATTGCCGTTTTGCGCCGTTGTTGGCGCTGTTGGGGGGCACGCTCTGCTGTCTCCTGGCGTGGCCGTTGACGGTGCTGCGGCCTCCTTCTCCCCCTCCGCCGTGGTACTTTTCGTCTAACGCGAAGCTCTGCCGCTTTCGTTCCCTTATACGAGGGCTGTCTCGTAGGCGAGGGCTGTCCCTCAGAGGAGGGCTGTCGCGCAGACTTCTGTCACTGTCTCTGTCTCTGTCGTAGTCCCTGTCGCGGTCCCTGTCCCTGTCTCTGTCCCTGTCCCGATCTCGATCCTGGTCCCTATCCAGTGGCGGTGATGGCGGTAGGCCTCCTCTTCCCCCTCCTCCCCGCCGCCTCGGGTCCGGACCCCGAGATCTATCCCTGTCGCGATCCCTATCCCTATCCCGGTCACGCTCACGTTCACGCAAGTCGCGATGCCGTTCCGCACGAATATCTCTCTCCCTGCTCCCCCTAGGCGGCGGCGGAACGTGTTGCTGTGAGCCTCGCTGCGGCGGCGGCGTAGGTGTATGGGGTCTATATCTGCCGCCGGCGGGGGTGGTGCCGTCGCGGTGATGACGCTTCCTGTCGTCGTGGTTGTGGTCGGTACCTGAGTCCTCCTCATCCGACATTGAGCTGGCCGAACTTTCGTCGTCGGATATTACCACTACGCCAGCTGGCCCATCTCCTTCTCGTCTGGTCGTCGCTCCTGGTGGTGGTGGTGGTCCTGGTGGTGGTGGTGGTGCCGCACCGCTGCTGCGGTCGGCGGACGGACTCGGGTGGTCCATTGCCTTATACTCTGGACAATCCGCAAACCCCAATTCCCTTTTGTCTCCGCAAAGCGCAAAGTCCCTCTCTCTGATTTCCCGTCCGTCGTATGAGATTTGCGCGCTGCTGCAGCAGATGCAAGCTGTAAATGCAAAAATGCGCGGCCACTAATGCGCTGCGCTGCGTTGCGCTCGCCGCCGGGCTATGAGCGTATTATTACTTAGGCTTGGTTCCGCAGCAACGGGAATCCGGTCCTTTGGGGGTAACCTGTTCCTAGTTCCTACTCTCCCTCACGAAAAGAGGTCTGTTTCTCCTTGGCTTTTGCTGTTGCGCCGTGACACTAGTGAAGTGTGGCTCGGTGAGACCGTGCGAAACGGAGCTTTTCTTCACGGGACTGCGCGCGGGAAATTTCGGTATGCAGGGCAGAGACCAAATAAAAGGACTGGAAGAATCACGGGCGTTGCGCTGATGTTAAAGTGATGACCAAAGTCCGATGGACGATGGACGATGGTGATGAGGTGCTCGATTGCTTGCGATGAAATTGGGCTTAAAGATGGATGACATGAGATGGCATGTTCGTTGCGTGTGAGTGTGTATTGCGATGAGATTGAAAATGAATGCCTTTTTGCGACAAGGCATGTGTACGCGCAACGCCACGCAACGTCAGTCAGTGAGACTGGAAGGTGCGATATGAGAGGTGCGGCGCGAGATGAGTGTGGTGAGCAGCAGGTGAGAGGTGAGAGGTCGAGAAAGGCACCGCCACCCCCGGCCCGCCCGTTCAGGAACCTAGGCCCAACCTCGATCGTTTCTCCCCCCCAGCCCCCTCTATTACAACCAAATTAAACAAGACACATTGGGCATGAAAATCGATGCTCTTTTTCTTCCTCACGATGGATCAAATGGTCGGGCCGTCTTAATTTACAGGGCCATTCCCTACCTTGCCTGATGATCTCCCAACATGTTATTAGCCGAGCACGTCAATACCCAAAAAGCAATCGACCCTTGCAAATGTTGATGGATGACAGGCAGCTCGATTGATCGACTGTTTACTATGTATCCATTCGTGTACATCAAACACCACGATGTTGGCTACCAGACAATTGGAATACACCTCATGCGTTCAGGTCCATCGTACTCACATCTATTAAAATACATTTGCTTGCTAGTCTAACAAACTTCGCAACGGGTCTCTGCCATCGTCAACCGGGACAGAACCTTCCCCCTTCGTCGCCATCCATCACCGTTCAACTAATTCCCTCTGCGGCCTCATTTCTGGCCCATGGTATTTGTATCGAGTGCCGTTCCCGCCGTTACCTGTACACGTTCCAAAAGCCTCCCAATCCTGTACGCCTGTAAATGTGCAACAGTCTTTGATGTTTTCGCAGTTGCAGTTTAAGTAGACCACTGCTTTGCGTTTGCCGTTGGTCGCCTCTCGACTGTATGCCATCGCCATTTTCTTTTTAGCATCAAACCCCCGAATGGGAAAAAAAAAAACCCTCACAAACGTCATTAAACGTCAACTGTGACCACTGAAACGTAGAAACCAATAAACCCCCATTCGGCTACTCTTGGTCGCTTTGCGCACCGTTGCTTGCTCCGTTTGTCTCTTTGGCGCCGTTGGAGGCCGAAGAAATCAACTTGATCCTCGTGGTGGAGGTTGCTGGTTGAGGGGTTCCGACGCTCGCACTCGCGCTAGGCGCCACTGAGCCCTCCTTGCCGCCGTCGCTTTCCAGCTCTTGCAACTCTGCATGCTTGTCGAGAGCCTTTTGGAGTTCTTCGTGGAAGAATTTCTGTGCATGTGTCAGGTTGAATGTTCACAAAAAGAGTCAAGAAATTTACTAACCTGGAGAGTAAGAGAGTCCTGGTAGAGAAGCGATGCCTCCTCGTTGTAGGTCTGGCAGTTGCGGAACATGAGGTCGACGTCCTTGCGCATATCGCCGAGGCTGTGGTACTGCTGTTTCTTGATCTTGGTCTCAATCTGCTTCATCGAAATAGGAGATTGGATGATCAAGTAGTAGTCGGCGTAGTCGCGCTTGGGTGGTAGAGCAAGGAAGGGCCCAATGATGATTCGCTTGCCCGCAACCGACTCGTCATCATCCTCTTCTGGTGGTTCCGGATCATCTACCTCAAGGTTCATGAGTCCGTCGAATAGAGCCCTCGTGTTTGCCTGCAGGAGTTGGCGTTGCTGAGCCGACACTCGCGGCGTCTCGGAACCAACAGAGACCGATACCGCCTTGGCTCTACCTTGTGGGCCACGACGCTTCTTAGCCGGAGGTTCATCGTCCCCTTCTTCTGCCTTCCGCTTCTCTTGGTTCTTCGCGGCTCCTTTACGGCCTCTCTTCTTGGGTGTCTCCACCTCCTCCGTGCTGGCACGACTTGCAGGGGGAGAGTCGTCAGCAGCATTGGCCACAGCGGACCTCTTGAGCCTGTTGGTCTCCCGCTTGTCTTTGCGGGCTTGCTTCCGTGCTGCTGCCGCCTCTGGTGAGTCGTCGTCATCGTCGACAGCCATGAGCCACTGCTCTTCCGTGAGACCGTCGTCGTAGCGAACCTTAGTCCGCTCACGAGCTCCACGTCCAAGACTTGTCTCAATCTCCTCTTCAATCGGGTTGCCATCACCCAGGTAGATCTCAGGAAGTTCATCCTCCGCGAGGAGACGAGGCTTAATCTTTGCTCCAGCTGCCTCGCCATAGGTTGGGTCTAGCTTCCGCTCCTCGTCGAGTTTCTGGAAAACAGCCACTTCATCGTCGCTACGAGCGAGGAGCAAGTTCAGCTCCTCGTCGTCCATCTCGTCCTGGTCTCCAGTCTCCGCCATGTCGGCGCTTTCTAGAAGGGTACGCAGCATAGCATCACGATCCGTTTCTGTCGACTTGTTGTCGAAGCGACCGGCTTGAATGACCTTGCCGTCCATGTCAAGCTTGAACCTGGCTCTTTCCAAGATCTTCTCTTCGACCGAGTTCGAACTGATGAGGCGAAGAATTCGAACCTCATTCTTCTGTCCGATACGATGAGCACGATCCTGAGCCTGCAAATCTTGATGAGGATTCCAATCGGAGTCGTAGATGATGACAGTGTCAGCAGTCTGCAGGTTCAGACCAAGACCACCAGCACGAGTCGACAACAAGAACATGAAGTAGTCTGAGCCGGGAGCATTGAACTCGCGCAGCAAATCAGAACGCTCATCTGACTTGGTTGTACCATCCAGACGAAGATACTTGAGGTTGCGGTATCTGAGGTAGTCCTCCATGATGTCCATGATGGCCGTCATTTGGAAGAACATGAGAACGCGATGGCCCGTTGCCTTGTACTTGGGCAGGACTCTGTCGAGAAGCTCAAACTTGCCAGCGGTTCTCCATAGCAAGTCGTTACTGATGCTCATAGGATTCATGAGATTCTCGACCTCATCAAACACAAATGGATGGTTGCAAAGCTTGCGAAGCTGCATAATCATGTTGCTCAAGCCGCGAGCACCAGCCTTGCCACCCTGTCCGTCGCTGACGAGGATCCTGTTGTGCGTGACCATCTGCTTGTAAAGCTTAGATTGCAAAGCAGAGAACTTGCACTTGATGACCTTCTCGGTCTTGTCCGGAAGATCCTTTTCGACATCCTTCTTCAGACGACGGAGCAAGAAAGGACGCAGCACCTTGTGCAGACGACGAATGACGAGAATCTGTTCTTCTTCCGTGAGTTCCATCTTGTCTTGTCCACCAGTGTTGGCAAAAGGTGTGTTGAACCACTCGTCAAAGGTTGTCGCAGACTTGAAAATGGTCGGTAGCGTGAAGTTGAGCATGGCCCACAGTTCCGTAAGGTTGTTCTGGAGCGGTGTACCAGTCAAGATGAGACGGAATCGGGTGTTGTAGTATTGCTGGATAGTAGTTGTCAACTTGGAGTTCTGGTTCTTCATACGGTGACCTTCGTCAATGATCATGTGGAACCACTTGATCTTGCTGAGAATCGGGCGATCCTTAATAATGTACTCGTATGTCGTGAGCAACACCTGGAAACGTCCTTGGCGGATCTTGTCCTGGTGCACTTTTCTGGCCAGAGGAGGACCCTTGTAGACAATCTTGCTCACAGAAGGCGCCCATTTCTCGAACTCGAGTGTCCAGTTGGTCAAAGTACTGAGGGGTACAATGACCAGGTAGGGGCCATCCTGCTTCTTGCGCTCGATGAGATACGTGATCAAACTGATGGTTTGAATAGTCTTGCCGAGACCCATCTCGTCGGCAAGAATACCGTTCAGGTTGTTGTTGTACAGGGAAATCATCCACTGCAGACCCTTGACCTGGTATTCCTTGAGCTTACCACCCACCAGGATATCGGCCTGTTCTGTGACCTCTTCCTTGATGCGATGGGCGACGGCGTAGTAGTCGATCTTTCGTCCACTTGTGTCGTCGTCATCCTCATCGGGTTCGCTCTCTTCTTCTTCCTCCTCTGGAAGTTCCTCCTCTTCGCCAGTCTGCTCCAACAGGGCCTTCCTTTGCTGAGACTTGACGGAAGCAGCGAGTTGCCGCAAGAACCCGTCGGTCTGTCTGAGAAGGTGGGTAATACGGGTGTCCTTGGCTTCGTCAAGCAACTTGAGATAAGCCTCTTCATCGTTGGCCTTAAGAGCCTGCAGACGCTGCTTGGCAGTACGCTCAATCCTCTTTTGCTCTTCTTTTTCAATGTTGTAGTGCTGGGCAAACATGAGCTTATTGAGTTTGGTGGACTTATTGCGCTGGCTTGATGCGGTTTGTTGAATCTCGTTTCTGTGTTGAGTAATGGCGGCCAAGAAGTCAGTGTGCCTCTTCTTCTCGCGGTTCTCCCGGATATCACGCTGCTGCTTCTCAAGCTTCTCTGTGATTCTGGCCTCGCGAACCGTCATCTTCTTTGTGCGGCGGTATCCGGAGCGGTTGGTCGTCATTGCAAGGTTGTCATAGAACATCATCGAGCGGCCAATCTTATCCCGCAGCGCCTTCTGCTTCGCGTACAAGCCGAGGCTCTTCATCTCAATGATCGCCTTGACCTTTGCACTGTCATCCAGTTCAACGTCGTCCTTGGTGGTATCCCAGTGAGCAATATTTGCTGGGGTGTTTCTGAGCTCGGCAAACCGATCTCTCATGCGGTTGAACACAATCAGCTCCCTCTCGTACCGTAGCTGGTCGAAGTCGACACCAGTGGGGAACAATCCCGGGATAAGCTTGCGATTTTTCCGTTGAGTATGGTCGAAATGGCTAATCGACTTGCGAATCAGGTTGTCATCGCCGTAAGGGGACCTGACGGTCTTGAAGGTGGGCCCTTGGACCTCTGGAGTAGATTCAGGCTTGGCTTCGGACCCATTGATGCCGGGCTGTGCAGAGTCTCGACTGGTTGTTGCGGGTGTTGATGAAGCTGCCAGCGCGGCAGCCTCGGCGGCGATGGCTTTCCTGCGCTCTCGCTGAGCAAAGATGGCTTGCTGCATCTGTAGGGGAACTCCAGCATTCTTGGTCAACAGCTTGAAGGCGTGGATCTGTTGTCTAAGCAAACTCAATTGTTGCGGGTTGAACTGGCCAGCACCTGGGCCGCTGGAGGGAGCAGCTGTCGAGGGGGATCCAGCGGCGGCAGCAGCATTTGAGTTGGCTGCAGGAAGCGCCGAGGCGCTGAGCGCGCTTGATGTAGGAGGTTGTGTCGACTGGGGGTGCTGCTGGGCGGGCTGCGAGCCATTGACAGCGCCGTTGGGACCACCAGCCTGCTGCATCTGTCGCTGCTGTTGCATCTGTTGTTGTTGCTGCTGATGCTGGAGGAATTGTTGTTGCTTCTGTCGCATACGCGCTTGTTGTTGGAAGGACAAGACGAACTGCTCGGCCTTGATGTATTCGGGATCGGTGTTGGGGACGCCGCTCTCCCTCATCTGCTTGAATTTCTTTGGTGTGTTAGCATCGTAAGATCGCATCAAATTTTGGCATATCATCAGAATATGTGAGGGATGCGGTCATTATGAAGAAAAGGCTCTTACATTGAAAATCTCTTGAGCCTGTTGAGGAGTGGTGGTCGCCATGCCGGCGCCAGGGAGCTGGACGGCAGGCGCAGCCTGTACTGAAGCCATGGTGGGCGATGTATGTATTCCAGCAAATCTAACGACTGCGGGAATCTCTAGAGATGCGACGACAATCTCGCGCGCATTATCATGCAAAGGCGTTGTAGGTGTAGACAAGTGGAGCCTTATTGAAGGTTTGTCGCGCTTGGCTCGTCGCGAAATGAGAGACTAGAAGGCTATTGGTGATAAGGATGGGAAATGCAGCGCGTCGGTATCGAAAACACAAGGTTTGGGGATGGCGATGTGATTCGGAGACGGCAAGGTTGATGCCGTGGTCGGAACGGAAACACGTCGGTCGCGTAGAATCGAATTCACCGAGATGGCGGATGGAGTTCAGCGGCAGAAACGATGAATGGGGGACGCGAATGCGGTGCCGCGAAGCGTGGGGGGGAAATGGGTGGAAGAGTGAACAGGACGTGATGCGAAAAAAACGGGAGTTGGTCGGAAGGGCGCGGCGTCGGGGCGTTGCCTCGAGCAAGATGCGCGAGGAAATCGCGTGGAATATGTTGCTGGACACTTTCCGAGATGGGTGTCGATGCCTGTAGAGGGGGGATGGCGATTTTTCGATGCGCGCGGTGCCGGTTGAGATGGAGAGGTGAGGACAACGACAAGATTCATTGATGGTTGGTGCGGACTCTGTGAAACTGAGTCCCCGTAATTTTCAGCACCGCAACAAGTTGTTGCCTGAGGCGTCTACACTAATCTGCTTATGTACAAGCGAGGGCGCTTGGGCCAACTCGTTCCCTGGTTTACTGCAGGCAGGCAGCGGCCGGCCTGGTCGGCCACTGGTTGGCTTCGGGTACTATCCGGGCCACATGCGCGCCTCAAACCGTGGCCTGTCAGGTTCATCGGCCACCAAGGAATGCCAGATCCACGCCGCTTGGCATCTGTCGTCTTTCGTTTGCAGCAAGGTGAGGAAAAATGTCTAGGTTGTCGGCGCATCGGAGGCGCGTCTTTCTCTCGTAGACCCCATACTATTTTCTTAGACGCGCGTTGGCTGGAGTACCTACCCCGGGCCAGGCCGGGTGAGTTGGCCGTGGCGGGGACGTCCACACACTCCCGTTCTGCAAGTGTCAGCGGCTTTGCGTGTCTCCATGTTTGGGGGTTGCTCCCAGCGAAGCTAATCTGACGGAAAGATGAACAAGTGGAGAGATCCTTCCAGGAATGCAGGCCGGATGGCAGGCTTGCCATTTCCCTGGTGTTTCTCCCCGTACCCATATCCCAAATGCAACCCGGATTGATCAGCCAGCATTGCTCCAAACCTTCCTTCGTCCAAATTTAAGCTCATACTCTTGTCATGATTCCCCACGAAATCATACAATGAGACCCGATAGCAGCAGCGCAAAATTCTCACCGCTTCACCCTTTTCTTGTCCGGCTCCCCTTCGTCGTCACTCACATCCGCGTATTGAGTGACGGGCTGGGTCGTCTGCCACGCCGCAGTAAACATTGGGTCTTTCTTTGCAGCATCGGCATATTTCAGCAGTGCCTCTCTGGGGTCTTCGTGAAGCATCTTGGCGAGAGGGATGTTCTCTGCAATGTGCTTTTCGTCCGGCTGGTTTCGCATGAAAGGCGTTTGCTCCAAGACTGCTGGTCTTCTGGGATCCTTGGACTTGCCTGAAGCTGTGACTCCCGCATTTCTGCGGCTAGCCATTGCGCTTCCTGGTGTGATGATAGCATCTCCAGACATTCCCGTTGTCATATCCGTCGTTCGGGACGGATCGTCGTCGATGTGCCTCTTCTTTGGCGCTCGTGACATAACTTCCACAGCGCCCCGCATCGACATTGTCGGGCTGTAAAGCACATGTGTTTCGCCATTCGCAGACCCCGTGATAATCTGATTTATCTTGGGATGCCAGTCAACAGTGATGAGAGGTGCTCCGGGTGTAATTGGTGTGACATATTCGGCTCTCAGATTTCCGGGATTCAGAATGTGCAGGTCGCCTGTTGCGGAACCTGTCAAAATGCTGGTCGAGTTGGGAGAGTACCTGATGTTGCTCATCGGGAAGTGATCTGACGTCGAAGCATGGTCCACTGTGACAAGAGGCGTCTTGAACTTCCGTGTGTCCCACAACTTGATCGTATTGTCACCTCCGCGGGTGACGACCATACGGCCGTCGGAGGAGATATCCACACCTCCGGTCCAGGTATCGGCTTTGTGGGCGTCTCGAATCTCTGCGGTTGGCCGAGAGAACGGGCTACTGCCGCTGTACATAACCAGCGAGCCGTCTAATGCCGCCGCGACCAACACATTGTTGCCACCTTGTGCCGGCGCACCCCAGGCAACCGCCGTCATCCTCGTTCGCCCAGCAGATCCCGCCGCCTTGGACTTGAAGACAATCACGTCCCTCTGACTGCGCTTGTTGTTGATATCCCAGATTCTCAGGGTACTGTCGGTGCCAGCAGTCACGCAGAGATTCTTGTCGGTCGGATGCCATGTTCCTGTGGTTACTTCTGAGATGTGCCCCTTGGTGTTGTTCATGTCCCTGAGATACATGTCGCCCTTGACAAACTCGGTCAAAATGTCGCCGTCTCTCGACATAATCTTTGCCTGCGGGTGTGCTGATACGCAGAGAAACACGCTCCCAGCGAGGGGGTTGAACTCGACGTGGTGGATCGGGTGCGACTCGGCATTCGCGGCAGACGATTTCACTTCCCATGGATCAACGCTTCGAAATGCTCGTAAAGTACTGGGTGTCATGGACGCGAAGTCGTGCAAGTTGATTTTGCAGTCGAGTGAGGCTGACACGAGTCTTCCACCTGCTGGGTCCAGCGTTACTGTGGTGACTGCTCTTTCGTGGGTTTTCAGTACCAATTCGTGCGAGACTGGGTAGTCGTCGCCATCTTCGGAGTCGTCTGAATCGGAGTCGTCGCTGTCACTGTCATTGTCTGAGTCGGACTTCTTTTCTTTGTGATCAGCACTTGGCGGACCTGCGGATCCCTCGATAGAAGCTCCCGTCGACGGCTTCTCTGCCACTCTTCGGCTCCGATCGATCTGGGCGGCGATGTTGGCTTCCTTTGTCTTTTTTCCAAATGACGCCGGTAGGAACGCGCGCATAGGATCGTCTGCGGCCAACTCGGGGCCTTCGACTACGAATTCTTCGTCGTCGCTGCTCATTGTTGCAGACTGGTCGGAGATGGGGGGGAGAGGGTGTGTCAGGAGGGAAAATTGCGAAAAGGTAATTGAGGTAGGGTCCCCAATTCTAGGTACGGAGGGACCGAGAATCGTACACCAGATGGGGTGATGTCAGGCAGGAGCACTTGGGCAAGGGTCCTACTACCCTGCCGCGCCTGCTTAGCCCAAGGTTTGCTGGCGGTATCCATATTTCATGGTATCCAAGGTGCTGGTCATAGCGTCCAACGGCGTTATTCCTCCTCCACCTATTCCTGTACGAATATGATGGAAGTTGCCTCGAGGTTCGGACTGGTGAATGAGCAAGTAGCTTCAATTTTCTATGCAGGCAGGACGTATCTCCGCTACTACGCTTCTTGCGTGTATCTTCACCCCAACAACATATGTTCTTGTTCACCTCCGACGCTTCGCTCCCATTTTAGATTGAAAGTTCAGGTGAAGTACAGTATTGGGGCATCTAAGAAGAATACACCACGTTTGCTGGAGCTGAATATGTCTCTTGCTTACTGTAGATGGCAAAATATTCTTTCGAATGAGTCCGTCCGTCAATTCTCGAACGTACCAGCTCCCAGCTGTCATCCGAGGCTACACTCAGGAGCCCACTGTGCCATCTCTACGCAACGCTAAGACGCGATCGCTGCGAGACGCTTAATCTCTTCCTGCTTCATCCGATACTGAACCTTGAGCCTCTCTGGGATGACTTGCTCCCGTGGCGCCGTTATCTTCCATCCGGGCAGCGACTCGACGCCCAACAACCTCAGGGTGGCCTGCTCCACAAGACTGTACAAACCATCCGCCCTATCAAAGACGTGAGGCTGGTTCAAGAATACCGGTGGATTCGTGATGATACGCAGCCGCCGCAGCGGGTTCCTCGAGGCGCTGTGGAGCATCAACGGATGCAAGAGATACACGTCCCCTACCTCCCCGTGAGCCTCGACAAAGTCACCGCAGCTCCGCGCGAGCTCGTTGAACCAGTCGAGGTTCTTCTCCCTTGAGAAATCGGGATCGTCTCTGGGTACCATCCGCGGCGAGACCCCGTCCGTGTGCTCGTATAGATGCCGTGCGACCCCGGCCATCGCCTCGGGACAGATAAAGGTCCCCCCGCCGCCGGGGACAATGTCCGTGAAGAGCGGAATCACGAGCAGACCTTGCTCCGGGGAGTCAAGATAGTGGACGAAGAAGTCGCCGTCGACGTGCCAGATGCCCAGTTCCTTGGGATCGGGCTCTGTTCCCTCGTATTCCTCGCTACCCAGGTTGACGATGAGAGAGTCCCTCCACTCCTTTGACTCGGGTGCCACCCGGTCCTCGCCGCCGCACAGCTCGCAGATGGCGGCCCATGCCTTGGGCGCGTATTCGGAAGCATCAAAGGTGCGGTGATGAGGCATGTTTGTTACCTGCTTCCAGGTTGACTTGTCGTTGGGGTCCATGCCCAGTCGAGTCCAGACGTCCTTGGTGACCCATTCTGCTTGTTCCTTTGTGAAGCAATTGCTCAGCTTCAACCAGCCTGTCGTTCTAAAGTGCTCCTTCTGGGCGTCAGTGAGCGGTTCTGTATTGGCAGACATAGCTGTGGACAGCAGTGAACAAAATTTGCGATTCTTGACCACAGTGTCTAAGTGGGTGTGTTATCCAAAAGGGGGAGAGATAGTAAAGATGGGTCTATAATGGTGCAGTATATCCTACTACGGTTAATTGAACGCAGACAACATATTGAACCACAAATCACTACCAGAGATGAACTTCGCCTATTTATGTTTCGTACCCAGTAAAGGGCAGAGATTCCGGGTGTCTGTATTGGCCAACGCTAAAGCTTCTGTTGTGCGGGGGAGCTCAAGATTAAACGCATTTGGGAGGATATGCAGAGTAGATCGCCGACTCAGAAGGCGTACCGGGAAAACAACCTACAAGGCGTCAAACTACAACCCGCCGCGCCGGCTAAATCGACTTTATGGGGCCGGAGTCCGGCCTCCCCTATTGAAAACACCGGTATACACTGTGTCAATGATGCTTTCAACCGGATAAAACCAAGGGCGTCGAGGGATCTGGCAGTCAGTGATAGATGGTGGGGGTAACGCCCTCTGATTGGACACAGACCATCCTTCACCGAGCGCCTTCGGTCACGATTGCGCCGATAACAGCCGACCGAACTTTCTCAGCCATGGAAGTCACTTGCTCGGACGCGACTCTCAACTTCCTCCAACCCATGTCAGCCCCCACCATAACCTCAAAATATGCCTCCCGATCCGACCATAGACGACGAAGAGTACGAGTCCTCTCAGGACTCGGACTTTGCGCCTGAAGAGGCAGCCGCAGCCGACGATGGCGCCTCCGAAGCGTCCGACTCCGAGGCCGACGACGGCGAAGACGCAGCAAAGACAACGACCAAGCGCAAGCGCGATGCCGGCGGCGACGAGGCTGCAGACTTTGAAAACTCGGGTGATGAGGCCCTGATTAAGAAGGCAGCGAAGAAGAAGCTCAAAAAGGCAGCGAGGGATGCGGCCGCTGCCCTGGCCCTAGGCGTGGATGACGAGGGAGGCGAAGGAGGGTTGGTGAAGACGCGGAGTATGCGGGCTGCAGAGTGAGTGGACACAGCTTTTTCCTTCCTGGCTTCTACCAGGAGTCGCTGACAGTCTGTGTCACAGAAAAGAAGAGCGCAAAGTCGCGGCCGCATCTGGCCCTGTAACGGTCGACGTCGATGCCCTCTGGGCACAAATGCTCTCCGGTCAGAAGGCGACAGCAGCACCAAGTGGCGAGAACGAGACCGGAGGCGGAGGAGAAGCCGATACCACGCCCATCGCCGCGGCGCCTGACACGAACAAGCTAGACGAAGCCCAGGCAGGCGACCCGTCAGACACAATCCGTATCAAGCGAACCTACAACTTTGCAGGCAAAGTCCACACCGAAGAAAAAGTCGTAGCACGCTCTTCAGCCGAGGCAAAGCTCTATATCGCCTCCCTCGGCAAGGACGCCGCCGCCGCGGAAGCCGCGGGTGCAGACGCCGACAACGAGGACGGCGAACCGAAACGCGTCCTCAAGAAGGCGTTCCGTTCGGCCTTTGAGCCCGTCATTGAGATTGTCAGCCAGCGCTCGGATCTGAACCTCGGCATGACGGTGCGAATCAAGGCGAGGGAGAAGGAGGCGCAGGCCAAGAAGCTCAACACGGTGCAGAAGAGCAAGATGGACTGGGCCGGGTTCGTGGACAAGGAAGGGCTCAAGGACGAACTCGAGCTGGCGGGCAGGGCCAAGGGCTCGTACGCCGAGAGGCAGGATTTCCTGGCGCGCAGCGAGGCCAAGAGGGAAGACGACGCGCGGCGGGCGAGGATGGCTGGCCGTGTGCAGTGAAACCCCTTTTTGCGTTGTTGTGTTGTTGTTCTTCACCTTACGTGGCTTCACGGTGGTCTTGGGTATTGGATACGGCTCGGCGTTTTATTCATGGAGATAACAAAAGAGATACCCCCTAAACAAATATCAGACATAATTTATACACGACCAGACTACAGCTTTGCAGTCGCCTTGTCTCCAGGCGGCAAGATGGCAATGTCCTGGTAAGGGACGCCCAGGTACTCGTAAATGAAGTGAAACCTATCGCTCCCGAAAAACGGCTCGCCCTGACCCTGCTCATTCACAGCCCAAAACCACGGCGCGCCAAACGCACCATGATCAATCGCCTCCTGCGTCTTAGTCTTGACCGAGTCCTTAATCTCCTGCGACCCTGCTCCTTGCAAAATCCTCTTGACGTCCGCCTCGCTGAACAGTCTCTCCTGCGTGTTGCTGCCGCTGGCGGGGGGCGGGTACTGCTTGGGCGCGTCCGCAATCGCTTTGGCCAGGACGTCGGGCTTCGTGAGGTTGAGGTTGGGCGGCTCCCAGAAGCAGTGGAGGAACCAGTGCCACGCCGTCTGGTACGTGGCGTCTGGGTAGTTTGCTTTGATGAAGTGCAGGGCGCGGAGGGGGGCGACTGTCATGCTTCGCTCCATGAAGCTTTCGGGCGTGGTGATGCCGGGCTTACCTGCTCGGGCGGAGGAGCGGCGGGCGTCAAAGGTGCCGTACTCTGCCTTAGCTGGGAGCGTCCATGGTGGTTTGTTTCCTAGGCGATGAGTGAGTTGAATTATTATTAACCTCTTAAGACACCTGGATAAATATACCTGAAGCAGCGTTGATGGCGCCAAGGAGAACAGGGTGAATCCTAATGGGGTATGTTGGTCAGTGACTGTAGTTGAGAGGGTCATTTGGTAGGCCCAGGGGACGAACTCTATTTGGACTCCATGGGCTGCGAGAAGTTCCTGGTTGTTGATAATATGAGTGAAGGCGATATAACTATACAGCGATGCTGATAACTATCATCAGTCAAGCCCTTTGGTCCTTGAAATACCTAGTACACTGTGAGACTCACCAATGTCTATGTAAGCATCAATCTTGCCGCCCATCTTGGCGGTACTCGGACACCAAAGTTATAGTGATGTTTGCGATTCGGGCTTATTGACGGGCAAGAACGTAATAATCTCCGTCGCACACTCGATGGCGCAACCTTTGTAGTAGATGTTGAACAGAGGTTGATCAAGACAAGTTGATGAAGTGGACTTGAGGTGGATGGTGTGGGGAACCTCGGCACAAGCCAGTGGGTGTCTGGGGTACGGATAAAGCTCCAGTCTCTTAGCTTCAAGCTCAATCGGGGGTGATCACTAATACACGTTCACGTACCGAGCCCCGACGGCATGTGTACGAGGTCTCACATAACCTTGCGCAACTCAAGGCTTATATACCGTGTTGCGCTACGATATTTAAGTTGACGTGGATTCTAAGACTTGATAAAACATCATATTTGAAATACTTTTCATCACATTACATGATTGAGAATCCCCCAGCCACATCCCACACGTAGAGGAGAACACACACTTCATTCTTCTCAGCTTACCTTATACACACATTATGGGCGAAGCCAAGCAGGTAGCTTTAGTAGTCGGTGCCTCGAGAGGCATAGGTCGACAAATCGCCATTGACCTCGCGAAGAATGGTTATGCAGGTACTGCCAATTCCTCCTGTCTTCTCCATTCAAAGCATCGAGTAGCTTACGCTTATTATCAGTCGTCGTTGCTGCAAAGACCATAAGCGACGCATCCAAGGCCAACCATTTCCCACCGAATCCCAACTCAAATGATTCAACCATCAGCACGGTAGCCCGTGAAATTCACGAGGCCGGCGGCGACGCAACGCCCATCGCCGTCGACGTCCGAGACCAAGACAGCGTCACACGGCTCATCGAACAGACGATCAAGGTATCCGTCCATCAAACTTCTCCTCTTTATACCGACAGTGACCCTTTCTTCACCTCGTAGTCCTTCCACAAGTAACATCCACTGATACAAACCTTCTCCTCCCCCAGATCTACGCCCGCCTGGACGTCCTTGTCTACAACTCGGGCGCAATCTGGTGGGCCTTGGTTGAAGACACGCCCCCCACACGCTTCCAGCTCATGCAACGCGTGAACCCAGAGGGCCTTTACCTGACCCTCCACGCCGCGCTCCCGCACCTCAAGCGCGAGCGGCGCGGCCGCGTTGTTGTAGTCAGCCCGCCCATCTACAGCCGCTTCTTCCGGGGCAAGACGGCCTACGCCATGGGTAAAGTCGGCATGAGCGTCTTAACCAAGGGCCTGTCAATGGACCTCGTCCGGCAAGGGTTAGACGACATGGCCATTACGAGTATCTGGCCCGCCGTGGTATGTTGTCTTTTTTTCTCTGTTTTTCCCTTCTTTAATCTTCTTTTTTGAACGAAAGCCTGCTGCTTGGATCTTTGTCAATGTTCCATAAATAAGCATGGTGTCTCCAGCCATGTTCAATCTACATCGAACTCCGTAAACTAACAAGAGTCCATCCCAGGCCATCGAATCCGCAGCAACCCAAAAATTCCAAGCCGCAAACGCAGACGAATCAAAGGACCTGCGCAAGCCCACAATCTTCTCCGACGCCATCCTCGAGATCCTGCGCGCGCCCGCGGCAAAAGTCAACGGCGAGCTCGTCCTCGACGAAGACTTCTTGCGGGACCACGCCGGCGTCACGGACTTTTCAAAGTACTCTCTCGTTCCCGGAGCCGAGCCACGGAGAATCATGCCCGCGGAACTGCCCGATCTGCGCGTCAAGGAGCAGGACGACGAGGGGAAGAGATATGATAGCGCCAAAGCTAAGCTTTGAGATGGAGGGAGTACTTTGGGTTAGCTATCTTGTATGGAAATATAATGGTTTCGTGAGAAACATGATAATGCTGTATCACTTTGATGTTGAAATTGAAGGCATGTAGCGTCGTCAACGTATGGAAACTAGGTGCCTGAACCGGAGAGATCGAACAAGTCATGCCACTATCCTCTCCATGATAGTCGAAAGAAATGCGCAGAAAAGCTTCATCAGGAAACACAGTGCAATGCAATTTTGTCTATTGCCTACCCCATGCTACACAGAGTAGGATGCGGTGGATTCTCAATATAATGCACTTTATCACAAGAAAAAAAGGGGTCGTCCCGTCGCTCACAAATTAGACCATTGCCGGTTGCCCTCCCCTCTCACCTCCAACCCAACCAGCCCCACTCCACCGTCAACCTGTGTTTTCCGCCGTGGATGCCGGAAAAGAAAAAGACTCAAGACAGTGGAGGAAATCAAAAGTAATTCAAGGAAACGTGCTATGGTACAAGTCGTGGGGAGCATTTGCTGTCCGGCTTCGCATGTCCCCTCTTTTATGCTTGCTGGCTCTGCTGGAACAAGCCCTGGATGCTCTCAATGTCGCTAATGGTCTCGTTGAACACGTTGGTCAGGTCGCCGAGCACCTTCATGCGGTTCCACTCATGCCTCGTGTTCCAGATCTCGTCCATGAGCTCACGGTTGATCTGCTCCAACTGCTCAATAGTGCACCCTGATGTTCTCTCCGTCAACTCGTCCAGGAATTGCTCGACCTGGCCCTCGTGGATGACGGGTTGCTGCTGCGAAGATGACGAACCCGAATTCCTGATGTCCTCGCTTGTTGAGTCATTGAGAATATTGACCAAGGGCATAGCGTGCTTTGAGTCTCCTGAGCTCCTAGACTTGTTGGGTGATGATGTCTGACTGCCAGGCGGGTGAATGATCCCACGCGCCATGCCATGGGCTTGGGAGTGTGGCCAAGCTGCGTCGCTAGAAGTGGCCTGGCTCACAGGATCCATACCGGCAGGGATCTGGGTGTCTTGCAGCTGCGAGTTGTCGCCTTGGCTGGATTGTTCTGGATGGAACCCGTTTGTCGGTCCTGTCGCTTGCGTGCTCCACTTGTCTGTCGATCTGTCCGATGGATCTGACGTCTTGGTGGTGGAAGCGTCGTTCACAATCGCAGAAGGCGACATGCCCGGGGGCACTGTGGTGATGACAGATCTTTGGGATACCTGTGTAGCGCCAGTTGTCGCGTTTCCTTGAGGTGGCCATTGAGGCGGCGGCTGCATGGAGCTGTCCTGCGTCGTGTCGTCGTCGTCCACGCCGCTCATGTGCACGTCGCTTTGCCGAGAAGGGTTGGATGTGCCGTTACTTTGCTGATGGGATCCCACGCCGCCACTCGGTCCCGGGCTCATGACCTGGAAACGAGCCATGGCATGACCAGACCCAGGAATCTGCTCGCCCAAAGTGACCGGCCCTTGTGAGTCGCTGTCGTTACCGCCACCCACATCGCCTTGAACTCGGTCGAGAACAGACTGAAGCGCCTTCTTCTTCCTCGCCTTCTCAGCTTGGACCTTGGCGCGTTGAAGCTGTCTCTGGTGCAACGCCTCCCAGTCCACAGTGCTGGTGTTACCCTCAATCGTCGCGACGTCGACTTCGACATTGCTGACAAGTTCGTTTGCCTTGAGCGTCCGCTCTTTGTCGCCAATGTTCTTGGCATCTTTGGCAAGTGATTTGATGTCCCGAAGGAAGTCCTTTGGTCGACAGTAAAAGCCGTTCGACAACCTCTCCTCAATGGTTGTCGTTTCGAGGTTGTAGAAAGTCTTGCCAGAAACTGTCTCGCGTAGCACGTCAACATCGTACTTATCCTTCACGATCTCAAAAGGCCGATGCTCGATGCCCGCTACGTCGGGGCGAACATAGTTGGGATCCTTTTCGAGGAAGAGGTAATCCAGCTGACCGGGAGTAAGGACGGGTTGCCTGAACTTCTTGTACTTCCTGTTGATCTGGTCCATGATTGGCTGCAATTGCACCTTCAAGATATTGAGCAACTGGTGGTCTCGTTTCTGCATGGCCTTGATCTCTTCCTTGGTGGGTACTTTCGGTGGCGGTGGCGGAGCAACGGGGAGCTCCTCCAAGACTCTCTTCTTCCGATTGGCAGGATCAGGGAAGTCAGCCGGACTCTTGCGAATATGGTCGACAATGGAAGCAAAATATTCTCGCCGATTTGACTAGTGAAATTAGCAAAGATGTCGCCATAAACCTTCATCTGTTGTACTCACATGCTTCGGCCGCTGGATCTGCAATCGGTTTTTACGGGAAAAGGCAAAAAGCTCCCGGACGAGCTCAGGTGCAAGGTCTTCCCCAGCTTCATACTCAGCCGTCGCAAGCACCAAAATGGGATCCGTAGGCGGTATAGATTTGAGCATGTTCTTGAATGTGATGAATGGTAGCGTGTCTCTCATAGCGGCATACCACGATTCGATGCTCGGGATGTAGATGACACTTGGCTTGTGTCTCTTCACTTCAGTGAACAAACTGACAATCACCTGTTCCATGGGCTGCGAGATGTTAGTGACGCAGACATCAATGGGATGGGAATGAACCTACCCGTCCATCGGCCAGCAAGTTGGGAAGCCCAAAGTTCTGAACGTGTACACCTTCGAAGTAGTGCAGCAGGGCAGAGGACAAGTAGCTCTGGCCCATGCCCGAAAACCCGTGGATCAGGAATCGCGGGCGGAAGATTCTAGACCGCTCAAACTCTTGGTGCAGAGCTTCTCTACCGAAGCCGTGATCCTCATCCTCGAATTGCTCGAACATGGCTTCTTCCAGCGCTGTCAGCTTCTTCTTACGAGGCAAAACATCGTCCAGAGCCCTCTTGATCGATGTGAACTGGTCTCTAAGCAGTGGCTCGATCCCCTTGGGCAAAGGAGCAGCGCCTGTGCCGGCGGACCTCTCAGACGACGGAATCATCTTCTTGATCGACAGCATGAAATCTGTCGCGTGGATGTTGATCTTGTCAGGATTGACGATGAGCTTGTCTTTTGACGAGTAGACCTGAGGGTATGTCCTCTGAATGGAGTTGAGAGCAGCCTCCGTGCAGAGAGCACGGAGATCGGCACCACCATAGCCCTTGGTGTTTTCGGCGAGCTGTTGCTTGAATGGCTCTGAGAGACCCCAGTCCTTGGTGTGGATCTCAAGAATGGACCGTCGACCGGCCACGTCTGGGAGTGGAAAATAGAACTCTCGATCGAATCGTCCGGGTCGTCTGAGAGCGGGGTCGATGTTGTCAGGACGATTGGTGGCGCCGATTACAATAACCTGTCCGCGGCCGTCCATACCGTCCATCAGGGCCAGGAGTGTTGAGACGATGGAAGCGTGAATCTGCTCCTGCTTGCTGGAGCGCACCGGAGCCAAACCATCAATTTCATCGAAGAAAATGATACTCGGCTGCGTTCTTCTCGCTTCCTCAAAGAGCAGACGCAGCTGCTTCTCTGCTTCACCAACCCATTTGCTCAGAGCATCGGCTCCCTTTCTCATGTAAAAAGTAATCTTGCGCCCGCCAACGCCCACGGAATTGGCAAGAGCTCTAGCAAGCAGAGTCTTACCAGTACCGGGTGGACCGTGGAAAAGAACACCTCGAGGTGGCGTGACATGGAATCTCTGGAACAGCTCAGGGTATAGAAGAGGGAGCTGGACCATTTCCTTCAGCTGATCGATGTGACCTTGAAGACCACCGACATGATTGAAGTCCACAGTCAGATCGACTCCAAGAGGGTCGGCATCTGCCAAAGCCTTCTGGTTCTTGATCTTGCCAACATTGGGAGCTGCTCCCACGCCACCCTCTCCACCCAAAGGTTGCGCAAGGCCAGGAAGAAGTCCAGCTGGAGCGGCGGCCGATGTGGGCGTCATGCCAACATTTCCAGCAGCAGGCCCCGATCGTTGGCCCATTTCATCGTCACTGCTGTCCGAATCGACACCTCCTGCGGCCATTCCGGAACCCCAAGGCCCGCCAAGGAGCGACCCGGCGCCGCCTCCGCCTCCAAAAGGTCCGAATGTTGTGTTGAGGGCGCGATCCCAAGCTTGACTTGCACCCCCACGACCACCGCGACGACGTGCGGGAGTCGGGGCTGGATCTTCGCCGTCATCTTCCTCAATGTTTACGGCAGAGAGGGGTGGCATGAAGTAGTTCATGGGCTTCGCGGCGGCTCTGCGTCGCTTGGATGCTGTTTCTTGATAGATGATGGCGGGTGAAGGTCGTCGTGGACGCCGCGAGCGGGAGTCCTGCCTTAGCTCGTGGAGCTCTTCGGCCAACTCGTCTTGGTCTAGCTCAACTTCCTCGGCTGACTCGGCGCCACGGCGCGAGCTCCGGGTGGATCGACCCTTTGGCTTGGCGGCCCTACCGCGCGGAGCCGGGCTGTCGAAATCACCGTCGTCACCGTCGCCGGAATCCTTCTTGGGCGACTCAGACATGCGATCTTCCTCCCCTGCTGACTCTTCGCCGGGCTCGAAATCGCTACTTGGCTCCTGAACAGATTTTGATTTCCGAAGCCCGTTGCGACGAGTTAGGCGCCCAGATCGTTTGGGGACGTCATCGTCGGCTTCGCCTTCGGCATCAGCCTCCGGTTCGGCGGGCTCAGCGGGCCCAGAGCCACTTCCTCTCTTTGCCCTGGTTCGCCGCGTGACGATTGGACCTTCGTCTTCGTCGTCATCGTCATCTTCTGCCACAATGTCTCCCTGTACGATTTCTGTCGATTTTTTGACATCCTCCATCTCGGCATCCTTTGTTTCTTCAACAGCTTGCTCAGCATCGCCAGCCAATTCATCAACATCTTCCTCCCGAGGACCGCTGCTTTCTTGGGTGGCCTCTTCAATTGTCTCGGGTCCCTTCTTCAAACCCTTAATGGAGCGGGAAGATCGAGTGCGGGCCAGGGTCTCGGGGCTCCTAGAACGCGAGGCAGGCCGTCCATGTTTGCCGGAATTGGTGAGTTCAACGTGCTCCTCGCCATACTCCTCGGTGT